GACGCCGTAAGTGCTCCGATGGATGCTACAAGATCATACAAGAATCGTACTGTACGATTTTATCAGAAAAATCTGGCTTTACGATTGACATATGAAATCGTACAAGATCTTATACGATTTTTATATGATCTTATACGCTCATGTAAGATCATACGATAAGATCCTGTATGATCTTGTAAATATCATACAAGATCTTATAGTCTGATTGTTTGAGCTGGGAATATAAAACTATTCATGACTTTTTTTCTTTTTTGATTATTCTGTATTTTTCTTTATTCGTTAGCTAATAGTTGTTGTTTCATATAGCGGTTTCTAACTGAATGAAATTATTGAATCATACTTAAAATAAATTTTGCTCCTTTTTTTATAATTAAAAATACACATCTAGATTATTTGAAAAAAATATTATTTCTTATGTTGTTCATTAAACATCATCCTACGCATTGATTATAAAATAAAGAAAATAAAAGATATTACTGTTTTGTAATTTCATTGTTTTCTTTTCAAAAGTTATTTGAATAAAAATACCATTTACATAAACAAAAATAATAAAATCATGAAAACATAAGAACAGATGGCGGAGGAAGCAGAGGTAGAAAATCTATTTGCACATTCTTTTTTTCAAAATGTTTTGATCATAGAAGTGTTTATTTTGGCACACCAAACTAGTTTTATGATATCAATGACTACTTATATCCAGAAACGTGAATTAGAATATTTTCTATTGAGTTAATATTCATCTAAATATGCCTAATATATTTTATCAAATCATTTCAACGTCCAGTTACTTCATCAAAACAAAATAGAATCATTGTTTCTTATTGTAATTCGTTACATAATTACTTTCATTTTGCACGATTTATACAACATCTTTTGCAGAGACAAGAGATATAGCAAAGCAAATCTATTGGGAAACCAAGCGCACGTCTACATTCGATTCAGAATCTGTATGCCTGATCAATATTTGAATAGTATGAAACACGAGTATAGAAAAATCTCTAGTGTTCTAAAATTTTGTATCCATTGATAAATATCAGAATGGAAGAAAACCATAGAAACAGAGAGGAAGAACAAGCTTTTAGTGCATTCACTAGAGAACTAAAATTTTAAACACGATGAAGCCACTGCGATTATTTTTGGAAACTGAAGGGGAAAACCTCGTCATCTTAATGACAGACCATTACTAGACCAAAAGGCATCACATCGGAAAACCGACTAACCCGCTTCAGACATCAAAGTTTCTGCCAATAGGTGAAAAGAACATGAGCATCTTTGCTTCGTAGTTCAAAAATATCAGGAAGATGGAAGCAATTGTCTCGTCGTGCACGTCAACCGAGGGAAACAATTAAGACTTCGGTTGTAAAGTTTGATGAAGTCCTGAAGTCTTGAAATTTCCTGTTCTTCTTCTGACTTTAACTGTCATCATTAATCATGCTTCCAAATGCACTTTAATAGTGATACTAAAGTTTGAAGTACTATCTGTAGTAGGTATGACTCATCTAATGGTTGATGTAACTCTTACAAGGTGACAAAAGTATACAATGGCTTATGCCGGTCGGTACGATCCGGTTCGGCCGGTTTAGGCTGGTACCAGTCTGGAAAAACCATACCGGTTGCAACACTGTCGTAGAGTAACCGATGATCGACGAAGAGCTGGTTCTTCAGGTTCACTCAAGAAAATGTCAACACAAAACAGATAGGTCCTTTTACTTCCACAAAATGACCGTCTTTAGCAATATGATAAACAGGTTGTTTTTGTATGAGTGTATGTGTTCAGGATCTGTTCTGAAAGCAGAATTCATCAAACGGTGAGGAATGATGGTTAGACATCGATGTGAAGCTAGCACGACGAGTAGCTACCACGACGGATTTGGGTAAATCTAAAATCCTAAATACTCGGACTTTTTGTGGCGGGATCTGGATGCTTGTGCTTGTGTGCACGTTGCCGAGCACTCTCACCCAACTTCCGTCCCAACAACACCCAGCGTTACAGATTCCAAGCTCACCTAAATCCGTCGTGGTAGCTACTCGTCGTGCTAGCTTCGCATCGATTGGTTAGACCAGATTCAGTTGAGGGTCAAGCGAGTCGTGGCAACGAGCGTTACTTGCATTCAAGATGCGAACAACAATGAGTAGTGATAAATTGATTTATCACAGACATCGAAAGGTCATCACAAAAGGCATAAATTGGTCAAGATACGACTTTGAAAAATAATCAATATCAGTGTTTGTGAGTTAATCGAGATATATAACAGTATGTTAAGACCAGTTGCAGTAGATATAATGAATATGTAGAACAGCTTTATTTGCCATTTAATTCGATTCTTATAATGATAATTCCCTTTTCTGAAAGAAAGGGTCTTACTTTTTAAAAATGTATGTATGTTTGTCTGTCTGCCCAACCAATCAGAAACGAGCGTTTTTATTCATCGGGTTTTCGACCATTCTAATGAAACTTGCCAATAGGATATCGACGACGAAGAATTCGAGGCTATGTATGTAGAATGTGGGGGTTGTGGGTTTGGGGTATCGGTATGGCAAGTGTCTGGCTGTTTGGGTGTGTGGTGCGGCTGTGGATGGATTTGTGTTGGTGCGGGTGTAGGTGGAATGTAGGTGTGGGTGTGGGTGGGTGTGAGGTGTGAGGTGTGGGTTTGGGTGTCGATGAAGAGAAGACTCACACATCCACACCCGGTTCGGTTCGAGTACATTAAAAAGAAATCCGGTTCGAGCTCGGTTCGATTCGATGTTTTCTTTGCTGTCTGATGTAAAATAATCGATCAAACCTAATTTAATAACACCATAGTGTATCACAAATTTACACAAAGCTGATAGAATAATTAATTGTTCGTCTTTTGCGCTTATCTACATTCATTAGCTTTTCTAAAATTAGGTTGGGTTCGGTTCGTTCTCGATCTCTGCTTTATACATAGTACTGCGTGAGGATGAGGGCGCTGTGTCTAAAGTAAATTAGTACTAAAAAAAAGATACAAAAGTTAGCTTCATGTTCATGACAGTATCCATATGTGACGATCATCATACCCTTTTTTCTCGTATTTTTCTCGTATTTTTCTCCCTAACAGAGCAGATATGTAGTGTATATGGATCAATCTAGCATTTTCATCAGAAACGTACAATAGTTCAGAACAATTTGATTGAATTAGAATTCAACTAATCAAAAATAATCTGCTATCCTTCCTCATAGCAAATAGTTCTATTTAAATTGAATTTATTTTCAGTATGACTTCTGAGTAAAAGTAAATATCAGCATTCATCTCATGAGAAAAAATCTTTCACAACTGTACTGTAACAATATAATGGTCAACATTTTAAATTGATTGGCGTAAAGTGTTTCTTTCGTCCTTAACTTCACCTTTTTCTTGGCTTTTTCCTTTTTTTTCTTATTTTTGTCCTTTGTTGTACTGCGTCATTATTTATATCTCGTAATTTCTCCATCATTGCGAACTATCAAGAAGCTGATTCATTGCCACGAGACACACATTATAAAAGCAACAATTTTTCTGACGTTATTTCATTCAGCTTGTACTTAACATATAGCTATTTCTTCTCTTCTATTACTTGTTATTAAACAATAACAATGCAAATCTTTGTTAAAACTCTCACCGGTAAAACTATTACACTTGAAGTCGAACCAAGTGATACCATCGAAAATGTCAAAGCAAAAATCCAAGATAAAGAAGGTATTCCACCTGATCAACAGCGACTCATTTTTGCCGGCAAACAACTCGAAGATGGTCGCACGTTAAGTGATTATAACATTCAAAAAGAAAGTACACTCCACCTTGTACTTCGCTTACGTGGTGGTATGCAAATATTCGTGAAAACTCTTACTGGCAAAACAATCACACTCGAAGTCGAACCAAGCGACACCATCGATAATGTCAAAGCTAAAATTCAAGACAAAGAAGGTATTCCACCTGATCAACAACGTCTCATCTTTGCTGGTAAACAACTTGAAGATGGTCGCACGTTAAGTGATTACAATATTCAAAAAGAAAGCACCCTTCACCTTGTACTTCGATTACGTGGTGGTATGCAAATATTCGTAAAAACTCTCACCGGCAAAACAATCACACTTGAAGTTGAACCAAGCGACACAATCGAAAATGTGAAAGCAAAAATCCAAGACAAAGAAGGTATTCCGCCTGATCAACAACGTCTCATTTTTGCCGGTAAACAATTAGAAGATGGTCGAACATTAAGTGATTACAACATCCAAAAAGAAAGTACACTCCATCTTGTTCTTCGATTACGTGGTGGTGATGATCAATAAAAAAAACTGCTTTACATTGAAGAACTGAACTGAATTAACTCTTGTTATTTTTCTATTTTTCCCATTATTTTTGCTATTCATAATATTGTATACGTTCATGAACTCTTATGTATTCCTCATTTGTAGTCAGTACATGATGATTGATATTGTCTTATCGATAAGGAAATAAATAAAATAAGTCAGCATTGACACGTATAAATTTAATTTATGAATGAAAGAAACTAGAATTTTGTTTATTCTTTGAAGGATCTGGTCCAAAAAAATGTAGAAAAACGTCATAGCAATGAGCCTTATTCCCATTTCGCTTATAAGCCTCCAACCAATGAAAATACGCATCAACGTATGTCAATTGTTGCTAACAGCGGCTTCTTCCCTTTGATTTTTTCTTACTATCTATCCATTTCCTTTCTAACGAAAATATTCGTTGATTATGTAGCTCATCGTTCCTCTTCT